CGAAGATGACGCGAGGACACATCCTAGCACATCCACCAGCGATGAAAACGTGGAAAAGGTTAAAGAAATTGCGCTTGCTAATACAAGAATCATCATTAGAGAGATTGCCGAAGAAATAGGAATTTCGTACGGCTTATGCAAAGCGATTTTGCACCACGACAACGCACCGTCCATCCAACAGTCTTGGCGAAACACAACACCGTTGCGATGCCGCAACCACCTTATTCTCCAGGTCCCTTGTGACTTTTTCCTATTTCCCAAACTCCAAAGGACACTCGAAGGACGTCCAACGTGTTTCAACAATAGATGAGACTGTGATCAAAAAATAAGGTGAATATTTCATTTAAACTTCGCGGGTACTATAAAATCATGAAATTATTTTTTGGTGGGTTCGTAGCACTGTCTTTGACATCAATGCAGAGTTTCATGTCGATATATTCAATTGCTGCAGAGCTATACGTGTTCTTGTAAACATACAAAAGTGAGTTTCTCGATTTTTACTATGTCTGATTTTGTTGAGCAAAGAATTTGCAGTAAATTTTGTTTGCGGAATGAATATTCTGCCGCGGAAACATTGAGGATGTTGCAGAAGGCCTTTGGTGATAAGGCTATGTCGCAAAAAAACGTTTACAAGTGGTACAAAGACTTCAAAGAAGGCCGAGAACGAGTTCAAGACGAACAGCGCCCCGGACGACCATCAACATCTACCGATGAAAGCCACGTCAAGGGAATCAAAGATCTGCTGCTCGAAAATCGTCGATTGACAATTAGAGACCTTGCTGATGCTACGGGCATTTCATTTGGATCAACCCAAACCATTTTAAAAGATGTTTTGTGCCTCAAACGCGTCAAATCTCGATTGGTTCCAAAAACACTCAATTTTTTGGAAAATTGGTTCTTCGAGAACATTTCGCCAAAAATTCGACCCGTATCGTTCCGCAACCACCGTATTCGCCTGACTTAGCACCGTGCGACTTCTGGCTGTTCAACAAACTCAAAAGACCGCTCCGGGGACACCGTTTCGACTCGATTGAGGAGATCAAAGCCGAATCGAAGAAAGTATCGAAGGCCATCCCGGAAAAAGACTTCTCTGACTGTTTCGAGGATTGGAAAAAACGTTGGCGTAAGTGCATTGTGTCGGACGGGGAGTACTTTGAAGGCGATGAAATTGATTTCGAAGAATAAATAAAGATCTTTCATTTTATAAACAAATTCACCTTATTTTTTGATCACAGTAGTATCCACAGGGATAAACATTGAAGATTAAATAAATACTTGCCGAGAAAGTTAAAAACGTCTCGTTACTTTTCGACCAAACCTCGTATCTTGAATAATAAAGATTTCCTTCTCCCTCGAGAGCGCGTCGCAGGCGTTTTTGCCGTCCGATTAGCCGACCTGCGATTTTATCGCGCCATGTCCGATCGCGCAAGAATGCAGATTCGCGGTGACGAGCCGTCGGCAGTTAGCAGTTGGCGAATAACGCGCGATTCTCCGCACAACCACTTTCCGTATAGCCGCGCACAGCTGCATAATATACGGCCTCATATTGCCGCTCATTGTGAGTTGTTGCGCGAACTCTCGTCTCTGTTTTGTCGCGTACGGCTATCGACGACGATATCGCGCTCAGAGAAAGACTGCACTCGCGGGCTCTCGCTCGCTCGTTGGAAATAGTTTTGACGCAAGCTGAATGAGAGGGGGGAGAGAGGAGAGAGAGAGAGAGAGAGAGAGAGGCAGACAGGCGATCACCGCGCGGTAATTTATGCGCCGGCGTTATCGGCCGGACGAGGAACATCTGTTCGTTAACTCATTCGACGACAACGACGACAAAGTGCTCGCGCTCTCGCCGTGGCGTCGTACGCCCACGATTTCCATTCTCGCGATCTGGAAATTAGTCCCGCATGTCGTAAACCGGCCGGTCTGTCTATCGACAGACCGCACACCCTGTCGCCACCCTGTCCCAGTGAAACAGAGGCGGCCGCTCGAATTCGTCTCGTTCTCCGCGAAATCGCGATCGCTAAAGAAACGTTGCGCTGCGCCGCGAATGTGATGGGCGAGAAACTCGACGAGTCAGCCAGGAGATAGGCAGGTGTATAGGTGTAAATTTGGCTGCAACTTTACCAGTCGACTTGCAAGGGTTGCATCCTTGCATTGCGTCTATCATAGGCTCGTTATTAATTATTAATCGTTATGAGTTATCTCGCGGAATGATGAAATAGAAATGTAAGAAGAGGGATGAAAATTTGTCCGCAGCAATGCACACTGAGAAAGAATTGTATTAAAATTAAACAAATCTTCGTTCGAATATGACTGTGAATAAATTTATTCAGATCAAGCGACTAATTTCTAAAATGAAATACAGAGCTTCTCTGAATGTAAACTTTCTTCTCGAATTTTAAAAAATAATTGCTCAATTTAAATAAAGCTGTATTCACACAGTCGTACATTCGAACGAAGATCTGTTTAATTTTAATACGACATTCTTCTTCAGTGCATGGTGCGAAATGTACCAAGAAAATTTATATGTGAATTTATATTTATATGTAGAAACGCAATGATTCACATTCGGTGCAGTATATTCGCTTCGTAAGTATAATTTAAGAGAAAAGTCACAAGGGTCGAGTAAAGAAAAGGGTCCACTGATCGACTGTGGTACGCGCGACGAGATGAAGAAGGAAATATAAAAAGATCAAGAGAGAAGAATTCAGGGAGACGCGCGTGTACCCGCGAGATCCGCTCGTGAGGGGAGATTCGTGTCGAGCCGCGAGACGGAGCATTTTCGGGAAGTCGCGACGGTTTGCGTATATTTCGTGATTTATGCCCGCAAAGATGTACACGCGAGAAGATATACATGGGAAGATATACGCGTTTAGAGACGCTCGGCACACCCCTCGGGGTCCTCCTCGACAGCAGCCCGAGGAATCTTTCCGCCCGGTTATACGAATCTGGAGAAATGCATCATATCAGATTATAATACGTAATACGGCTTCGCATAATTTACGCGCTCGCTGAATAATGCCAAACGGCGTAAAGCGCCGCCGCGCCGCACTGCGCGCAAAGACCGTCCACTTTACTCCCTCGTGGAACCCCCGGCGACAGGGGGAGAGAAAGAGAGAGAGAGAGAGAGAGAGAGAGAGGCGCCGCGCGCGGCTTGGGGTGAAATTTAAATTTCCCGTAAATTCACTGCACTCCGCGTTAGACGCGAGCGCGATAAACCCCCGGAACCGGTCCATGAGAATTCCCGACGAACGCTCTCTCGCTCGCGCTGCGATACGTCGCGCGAGACTCTTTTGCGCGCTTCCCTCGACGAGCAATTTGACACACACACACACACACACACGCGCGCGCACGCGCGCGCGCGTGGCTCACGTGCGACGTCTCGATCGCTTAATGGCCCGCGAATTGTCGCCCGAACGTGCGAACCGTTTATTTCTAGGATGGCACTGGTCCAATTTCGAGACATTACGCGAATGGCGATGCAAGCGCGAGTATAATCAGCGTGTCGCGTCGATGCGAAATGATCACACCGATGTGAACCTGACAAACAACTTGATTAAAAAAGAATTCGCGGTACGGTTCGATTGTACTTCGTTTGTAGCACTTTTTGTTTTGGCTGTACCTCGAAGAATAAAAAGATAGGGGAGGGGGAGAAATAGCCAACAAGCAAGTATAAGTATATCCGGAAACGGCCAACGCCATTCGCCGTTCGAAAGAGAATCGTTTGTACCTCCTTTCAAATCGTCCGTATCTCAAGAGATACCGAAGGTACAGGATCTTCCAAAAATGTCCAAGAAGTACTTTCGCCAATTTTTTAGATATCGCAAAACGGCCAACGCCATTCGAGAGAGAATCGTTTGTACCCGTTTGTACCTCTCTTCAAGTCGTTTGTATCTCTCATAAGGATCGGAAGTACGAGAGTAATCTTCCGACATATTTTGAAGAAACCTGTACTTCCGGTTTCTCCGAGGTACAAATGATTCCGGTTCCTTTGAGAACAAACTATTTGAAGGAAAGTACAAAAAAGGCTATTATCCCTCTCCCCTTATTCTTTTATCCTTCGAGGTACAAACGAAACAAAAAGTGGTACAAACAGATACAAACAAAGTACAATCGAACCGTATTGCGAACTTGTTTGGTTCATCAAGTTGCTTGCCAGAGATTCGCATCGTTGAAATGATCAGGGTGACACGCAGGCCTGCGAAACGAGCAATTCGGGTCTTCGCGACAGCTCTTGCGAATCTCTCTGTGGGCATTCGAGAGACTGCTCTCGTAAAATGTGGAGTGGGATGTAGCAGGCGTTTCGATTGCACGCACAATGAGTCGTGATGCCGAATACCTGTCGAATCACCACGCACAGAGAATCAGCACAATTGATAATTTAATTCGCCGAGTTCGCCGAGACATTCAGCCAGAGGAAAACGACGCGGATCGATTACACACGTCCCCGGCCCGTCGACTCTCTCCAAGTCGGCGAACTTAAACTTAAAGCACCTGCCGAGCTCTCGAGCGTAATTCTCGCAGAACGCGAGATGACGAAATCGTTCACATTAGGCTGACAAATTTCCAAAATGTGTTTGATATCCTCTCCGGGCTTGGATCCGCCGAGATTATTAAGATTTCGCGTCAACTCTCAAAATTGTGCTCTCAAGTTCTCCGACAGAACTTCAGCGACCGGTTCATCTTCGCGAGCACCACGTCTCTCTCTCCTCCCTACTCAAACTGCCCTACCCGAAATATCATCTGAAAAGTCCATCTTTGTTCGTCGAGCACGATCGCGATTCGGATCTCTTCGGCTGACTGACGAGGCGGCTCGAAAAAGAGAGAGGAAGGGAGGAAGAAAGAAAGAAAGAGAGAGAGAGAGAGAGAGAGAGAGAGAGAGAGAGAGAGAGAGAGAGAGAGAGGGAGAGAGAGAGAGAGAGAGAGAGAGCGGATGACGCTCGAGGGCTCGTCGAGGGTTGAAGCGAGGACACACAGCGAGAGAAGAACAATCGTGTTCGACTCACCTTGCAATGGGTGCAGTTGTGGATGACGGAGTACGGCTGGGCGCAATCGTAGCGCGCCAGTACCTCCTCGAACTCGCAATGCAGCCTCGCGGCCAGGGCATCGACGAGCAACAGCTTGTCCAGGGCATCGGCGCACTTGAGGCCGCCGTTTAGCACGTCGTTGAGCGGGCCGTCCTTGCCGGGCGCCAGGGCGTTGACCACCGCGTGCTCGCAGCAATGCCGCAGACGCAACCCGCTCATGAACCAATATCGATTCTCCCTTGGGGTTAAAAAACTTTGCGTACTGGCCCGGCCGAAATCGTCCCGACAGATGTCCCTCTTGTGCGACTCCTCGAGATAAAAAAGGCACTGTTCCGGGGCCGTCCGTACGCCCGCCTCCTCGGTATTCGCTCCACGTCGATCGCCGCTACCGCCGTTCTCGGCGTCCCCGACCCCCGTCCTCGATTTTGTCCTTGTCGTCGTCGTCGTCGTTGTCCTCCTCGTCGTCGGCATCTTCGTCGTCGTCCTCGTCGTCGTCGTCGTCTTCGTCTTCGTCTTCGTTGTCGCCGTCGACGGCGCCGTCGCCGACTTGGTCGTGCTCGCGTCGCCGGCGATTCTCGAAGCATTGATCATCATCTCGTGGAAAACGTCCCGCGACGTCGTGGCGCACGGCATCGGGCAGTTCTTCGGCACCTCCGGTGGACCGCAGCTACCCTGAAGATCGGCCGGCGCTGGTCCCGCCAGGTCGCAGGCCGACAGCCAAGGATTCACCTGGTTCACCTCCCAGCTGTATTCCTTGTAGGGGTGCGAACTCTCGGACTCTTCCTGATCCGTCTGCTCCCGCTTCTCCTTCCTTTCCTGTTGCTGTCGCCGTTGCTGTGATTTTTGTTCTGGCTCTTGTCGCTGCTGTTGCTGCTGCTGCTGCTGCTGCTGCTGCTGCTGCTGCTTTTGCTTCTGGTGATGACGATGATGCTCGCTGTCGTCGGTATTGCTACCCTGAACGTAATGTTGCGGTTGCTGGTGTTGATGCACGATGACCGTTGACGACGAGAACAAGTTGGTGTACGACGGCGTGGCGTTACGCTGCGCGGGGTTTTTCGCGTGCACGAGGGTCGGGTTCTGCGCGTAGGTCGAGGCGAGGTGACCCGAGGCACTGGTCGAGCACAGCAAGGGCCACGCCAGAAGGTACAGCACGAAGAGGAGTAGCCTGTAGTAGCTTCTGCGTGTACGCGGCTTGTCGACTCCGACGTCCTCGTGGCTCCCCGATCCGCAGCCTTCTTCTCTTCCTCTTCCTCTTCCTCTTGTTTTCCTTGCTTCTCTCCTCTTAGTAAATAACTTTTGAAACCAGGCAGTGTTTTCGCTACGTCTCCTCCCGCTATTCTTCTCTCCAGCCGCACTGCTCCTTCCTCTCCGTTCTCGCCCGTGGAACTGCTCGTCCACTGTCGGCCGCTCGCGACTAGCACGCTTCCTCTCGGCAAACGATGAGGATGACGATGCCTCGCGAGCACTGTTCGATACACCGACGCGACCGATCGCGCCCACCACCTCGGCGCGGATGTAGTCCTCGCGAGACGCGCGCCCGGGCGCGTCCTCGTGTTCGTACTCGTCGCGCGGACCTCCACCCGAGCATACACCCGTAATAACACTGACACGCGCGCTGTCCTCGCCACGCTTCTTCCCGTCGTGCTCCTCGTAGGCCTCTCGGTGCATCCTTTGTCGACAACGCGCTCGTCCCTCGTCGACGTCGACCTCGTCGTCGTCGTTTTCGTCGTCGTCGTCGTCGTCGTCGTCGTCATCGTTGTCGTCATTGTCGTTGTCATCGTCGTCGTCGTCGTCGTCGTCGTCGGCGTCGTCGTCGTCATCGTCATCGTTGTCATCGTCGTCGTCGTCGTCGTCGTCGTCGTCGTCGTCGTCGTCGTCGTCGTCTCTGTCGTTGCTATAGGCAGTGTAAGCAAGCACGGCGTCGCCGTCGTTAACATCCTCGTCCTCGTGATCCTCGTGGCGGTGGCGCGTGCGCGCGTGCACCACCGTACCGCGCGAAGCGATGGAATCGCGAGAGACGCGAAAGGCAGTGGCAGTTCCCGCTTCTTCTTCGGGCTCGTGGCGGCCTTGGTGCTCGTCATGATGTTTTCGCGCGGATATGTCACCGTCGACGAAATCGCGATCGCGAATCGACCCGAACGATCTGGGTCGGTGCGACGCGCGGACGAACAACGCGCGACGTTCAACGAGCGAAGCTGTCGTCGTCGTCGTTGGCGACGATGACGACAACGACAACAACGGCGACAACGACGAACACGGCTGCACTTGCTGCTGCTGCTGCTGCTGCTGTTGCTGCTGTTGCTGTTGCTGCTGTTGCTGCTGCTGATGCCGCTGTTGCTGTCCCTCCTCCTCCTTCTTCTCCCCCTCCTCCTTCGCACTCGGCCTCCACTCGTTAGTCGACGTAGGTGGTCCCGTGAGTCCGAGCGGATCGAGCCGCATGGGCGCGAGCGGATGATCGGAGACGCTAACGTCCCCGACGTCCTGTCGTCGTCGTCGTCGTCGTCGCCGTCGTCGCCGTCGTCGCGCTCCTCGCC